CAGGTCCTCAAAGGATGTTGTCTTGTTTCAGTGTTGACTCCTGGCCAGGACCACGGCCCTCCTGTGACCAGGAGACACACCCAGGAGAGGAGCACACGCTTCAGAACCCTGAAGGAGGCCATAAAATGTGTAGGCCTCTCTAGTTGAAAACACCCAACTCTCCGACCCATGGGTGACTTTGTCTCCCAGTAACAGATGGGACCAGAAGGACCCAGTAACACCAGAAGAGCTCAGCAGAGCTCAGCAGGAAAAAGGAAAAGCTCTAGAACCAAGGACACCCTGCAAATATGAGGCACGGGCCAGAGCAAGCTGCAGGAGGAAGGCCCCCGTTAGTCACAAGCTGTCCACGTGTGGGAAGGCCCCCAGTGGCAGGGCACTGGAAATGAGTCAGGGTTGTGCTGCCCCCATCCTTGAGTTGGGCTAAGCTGGGCAGAGACCCGCTTAGCCTTCCCCCCACTTCAGTCCCCGTTTCCTGAACTCTCATTGAACTTTGACACCCAGACTCTTGGGGTCTTTTTCCTTGTCTTCTGATCCACCGACTGTCAAAATCCCCTTGCATTTCTTCTGTCCTGGTCTGCTTTGCTTTGACCTTGACACGGGCCTTTCGCTTCCAGTTTCCTGGTGGCCTGAGGAATCTGGTATATGGATAACTCTGAAATACCTCCTGGAACCTCTTGTGAAGCCCTGTGGTCCCTTCCGGTTGTAGCATTCCACAGCATGAGTAGCTCACAGTAATCTGTTTTTATTACTTGTTAAAACAGTTTAACAGGCAGTTTCTGTTCATGATGTGCAATACAAACCAGTTCATGCAAGTGACTTGAGGAGGCCTGTCTGAGAAGGAAGCCAGCAGGTAGCAGAGCCTCAAGGTGGAGAACTAGGCCCACCTCCATGATTTTAAGTTACATGATATGGATACAATAAGTACTCTTTTTCGTTTAGGTCCTTTGGGATAGGGTGGGAGTTTCAGGTGAACTCTAAGGAGGCCTGATGGACCTGAAACATCTTGACTTTGCACACCATGCTGCTATGCCTGAGCTGGGCAACTCTGGCAAGGACTAATGGGATTTGGGCCCGTCTCTTGAAGGTAAAAAAAAAAAGACGTAGACCCAACCTGACTCGGAGGAGCAGGAAATCAGAAATCTAGACTGCCTATTTCTCCTTTTTCATTGAGGGACCTTGAGCCGGGCCTGGCTGTCTCTGCACCTCTTCTTCCCAGGGCTCTGGTGAGGCTGCGCGGGCAAAGGGTTTGCCTCCCTCTGGGGAGCAGGTGCACCCCTGCCCACACTGCCTGGCTGCCCCACAGCCACCAGCTCCGTAGGGAGCTCCCTGGGTCAGAACAAGGTCGTGTGACTCAAAATACATTCATTGGCCAATTGATGAGATTGGCCAATGGGAGAGAAATGGAGGAGTCCAAGCCCTCTCCCTGCCAGTTCCCACTGGTTTCTGGGGGAGCCTGGGGAGCTCTGGGGCTCCATCTCTGGCCTGCCGGGCCTTGCAGGGGGCGGGGGTGGAACGAGTACTTCCCATTCCTGCACCACACATGCTCCCAGCTTCGACACTCTGGAAAGACCCCTTAGGGCTACAGGCCTTCCCTTTCTGCAGTGAAGAGGAGCACCTCTGTGGCCCCCACTCTGAGCGGTGCAGGAGGTCCACCGCCTGGGCCCTTCCTGTTTCGTGGAACTGGAGCTCGAGCCATTGTCTGGCTACAGCTGTCACTCCCGGCCCGGCGCTCCCTAAGGCTGCGGCCAGGACTGCCACGGGGCCTGTGTCCGGCTCGGCCCCGCGCCTGTCTCTGGGCCCTCAGTCTCGCCCTTGTCAGAAATGATTATCCTCCCTCTCAACCAAGTCCCCTTCCTGGAATGTCCTTCCCAATTTATCCACCAGCTCATCCTTCCGGGCCTGAGTACAGTCCCGCCCCCTCACGGAAGCCTCCCCCGCGCTCCTGTCTTCCTGATGCAGGTTCCCAAAGCCTGGGGGCCTCTGCGACAGCATTTTGCAGGGCTGAAGCTTTGTCACAGCTATTTATAGACGTGTTCAACTTCCTGACTCAACCCCCAGAAGCCAGTTCCAGAAATATGCCTAGAACGGTAGAGAAGAAGCCCCCCAAAACGCCAGTGCTGTTGCCCTGGTGTGTGTTTACTTTTTGCTTTATACATTTCATTGTTGTTTCTAAAATTAATCAATATTACAGGCTTATATATCGCAACCTTTTGTTTAAAATGTCATAAAATAGCAAAATCTTTCATAACTTTCTAAATAGTATCTCACACATTTCTTGTTTATTCCTAGTTATTCATGGTTTGTAGTGCCATGTTAGTGGTTAAAAAATGAGGGTCTCAGGTACCAAAATAGATCTCCAACTCGAGTTTGAATAAGAATAAGCAAGTTGCAAGAGTATCTCCAGTATACCCTTGAAAATCTAGACTAGCTATTTCTCCTTTTAGTGGTTCCCCAACCAATAAAATGATACATTTCTACATATGTATATGCTATATAGAGACATAAATCCCATTGGTTGTGTATATTTGTGTATATATGTGTGATATGCATATACAAATGTATATAAGCACAGTATTTAATATATGCTGTATGTGTATATACATATATAAATGTGTATATATATTCTGCATACTGTAATATATAGAATATATTGCCTAATAACATATTAAATATTGCAGAGTAACAGTAGTTAACTTTCAGACAGGCCTAGGGTGGGAGGTGATTATACAAGGGACTTTGTACTGTTTAAGTTTTACAACAAGAAAGTACCCATGTACTTGAGTTTTTCTAAATAAGTAATAATAAAAAAATCGCAGGGTGGAGCCAGGAAGCCTGAGGCAGGAGAGGCAATGTTTCAGGGGACCCATGAGACACACTTCTGCAGCAAAGTTTAACTGGCTGGCAGCTGAGTCCAGCTGGACATCTTGGTGAGACAGTCTCCCGAATGTGGCAGTATATAATTTACAAAGCTAAAAGCGTGACTGTCCTTAATATAGACTATGTGTCAAAGATCACTTAATTCCTGCGAAGGGGAGCAGTATGGTGAAGAGCTAGTTCAAAGAGGACTAGAGAGACAGAAGTGTTTAAAGGTGCCAAAGGGGGAAAAAAAAACTAGAATAAGATTTCTTAGATACCTACATAATTGGCTAATGACCTACATATGGGGTGGTAAAACCATCTTTCTTTTTTTTAATTGAATTTATTAGGATGACATTAGTTAATAAAATTACATTGATTTCAGGTATACTAAAACCATCTTTTCTACCTGATAGCTATTTACATCTTATCAATTTACTCATCACCAAGTTGGGATTGGCAGTCATCCTTTTGCCTTATTTTCAAATTTCGAGTATTTTTTCTTAATGGAGGAGTATTACCCCTCCTCTGGGTCTTCTCTGCTGAAATGGAGATTTTCCAGAGCCACTGATCTGAGCTGGGGGAGAGTGGCTGACCCCACTTGGCAGCATGCTGAGATCTGGGTCCACACTGGGCCTGGAGACCTGAGCTGGGCTGCAGGGAGAGAGGAATGAGTCGGCTCTCTCCTGAGGTCACCGAGCGCTGCGGGAGGCAGGATCGTTATACCCAAGTCTTCCAGGAGGCTGCAGGGCTCAGCTGATTCCAGTTCTATTAACATAAGAAACGTCCAGACCTGTAGAGAATGTTTATGAGTTTATTTGAGCCAAACAGATTAATATATACTAGGGAGCAAGATCTTAAATGCTCTGGAGAAAAACAGTTTTGCAGCTTCTTTTATGAATTTGAAATTAAGGAAGTAAGGAAGAGTCCATGGAGGCAGGAGAAAGCCAAGGGGGGGGGGGGGATCGACTGCAGGATCCTTAACAAGATTCCGTGTCCTGAGGGTGGTTAGGCTTTAGTTCAAAGGTGTGTTAATCGAGATACACAGAAACGAGGACAGGGCCTGTTTAAGGCAAAGATAAGCCTTTTATAAAATATTATCTGCCTAGGGAGTGACTACCCACCATGACCCTCCCAGTTGGGAATTCATCATCAGATCGCCCCGTGAGGTCACTTTCCGTAGAACCTCTTCTTTCGTTCACAGATCAAACGTGTCCCAGGTTTGGAGAAAGGATGGAGGGAACATCTTGGGAGAGCGGGGCGGGGGAGACACGGGATTCTGTGCCTGACAAGTGGAGCAGGGGTCTTCGGAAAGGTTATCTACGCAGTACTCTGTCCGCCTGCCCACTCCAAAACAGCTGGCAAGCCCTTGCTGTGCCTCAGCTAGGGCTGGCATCTCGCACGTGGTATGTCTCCCCTCTCCCCCTACTCATACAGGGACAGCAGCCTTCCCTGGCACCCAATTCCATCGGCCGCCTGGCATCAGTCCCTTCCCACCCCAGCCAATGCCCTCTGCGTGTCCTTCTCTTCGCTTTGCGCATGTCCCCGCCTGTTCCATCAGGGGGCGCTCGGGCACACTTCTGCGCCTTTGTTTCGTACATGGGGTTCTCCGCACCCTCTTCTGTCCCTGGTGAACTCCGGGATCCTCTGCCCAGCTCCAGAGCAACCCCTTCTTGAATGCCTGCAGTAGGAGCGTCTACCAGCGCCTCTCTCAGCCCCACTTCTTTTCCTGCCTCCCCACACCAGGAATCAACACTGCGTGCGCGAACCCCCCTAGCACAGGGCCTGGCACTTGTGGTGAAATGGCTTTGAGGCTGGGAACCTCCCAGGGCTAGGAGTTGAGTGGACAGGTCATTCGTCCTCCACAGAAACCAGGGTCAAGGGACACCTGGCGGGGTGGGAGGGGGACAACGTCGGAAGGAAGGAGGAGTGTAGTGCCCCAAGGCCTCCCTCTGTCCCAGGTTGCGGCTGGTATGGGGTCCGGAACTGCAAAAGTGGCCCAAGTCCCCTCTCCCCTGACCACAGGGGCGCGGGGTGGGGGGTGGGGTGGGGAGGGCGGTAGCGGGCTGAGCTCACTTCCGGCGGTGAGGCGCGGGCGCCAATCGCCGCCCCCGCGGCCACGCCTTGCCTCCCGGGAACCCGAGCACGCCGAGCACGCCGAGCACGCTTGCAGCGGCGTCAGCTTGGGGCGGCCCCCGACCTCTCCAGCCAGAACTGCGTGAGAGGGAGGCACGCCGTGAGCCTGAGCCTTCCGGTCTGGGGTTCCTGGGGGTGGGGCAGGGGGTGGCACTTGCAGCCTCCAGGGCGCGAGGGCGGGGACTAGGAACGCGGCTGGCGATCTCAGAGGGGTCTGGGCTTTAAAGTGGTTAGGGGAAGAGTCTCAGTGAATGGGGATTGCAGCCTGTGGACCTCATCGCCCACTTCAGGTTATTCTGATTAACCTCACACAGCCCTGGGATGAAAGGCTTTTATAGGCCTCTAAGACCAGACTAGAGGCTCCTTGGTTTCTTCGACTAATAAGAAGCCCACTACTCATTCCCATTGAGTACTAAGAAAGTTCTTCCTTTTTTAAAAAATTGATTTTAATGAGAGGAAGGGAGAGACAGAGGGAGAGAGCTCATGTAGGAAAATGTGACTTAGAAGGGTAGCTCAAACCATTTAGAGAGGATACTTTATTGCAATATCTTAAATGTAGGTCTTTTTTTAGGCGGTAGTTCATGTTAGCACTACTAGGTGTCAAGCACTCACCCATCAGTCATGGGTCGGTGTGTCAGGTATTAAGTGACAAAGAGTTGGGGCTAACACATTCTGTCTTCATGCTGACTTTCACACAAGGCAGACCTTATTTCGGAAGTCACAGTAAACAATAAGGAAAACCACAGGTATTGTGTCCAGATGGCTTAAATATTGGTTGCTTCTTGCATGCGCCTTGACCAGAGATCAAACTGACAACCTTGGCGTATGAGGATGATACTCAAACCAACTAAGCTACTCGACCAGAACAGAAAGTTCTTAAACTAACATCATCTTAGGCCTGGCTTAGTTTTTCATTCAATAAATGTTGCTTAACCCTGGCTGGTGTGGCTCAGTGGCACTCAGAGTGCCGGCCTGTGAAGCAAGGGGTCGCTGGTTGATTTCCAGTCAGGGCACAGGCCTGCCTTGCGGGCCAGGTCCCCAGTTGGGGGCCCACGAGAGGCAATCACACATTGATGTTTCTCTCCCTCTCATTCCCTCCCTTCGCCCCTCTCTGAAAATAAATAAAGTCTTAAAAAAATAAATGTTACTTAGTGTTGTAGACGATTGGCGGGTAAATACACACTCTCGGAGTCCGGAACTGAATTGATAAAAATTTTAATGGCCAAAGATTTTCCTGCGCAGGGGCGAACTTCCCCAACTGTGACCGGAGTCACGTAGCTACTCAGAGCTACAAAATGGAAGTCGCGCCTGGCTTACAGACTACTGAGTATTTATATTTTCTAGCAAGCAAGCAAAGGCATACAGAAGCAGAGGTGGCGGTTAGCTATTGGCTTATTTAAAAACGGGGAGGGTCCCTGATTGGTGGGTGCTGCTGCTGGCGGGCACTTTCTGGCGGGCCCGGGTTAGTTACCTTATTTGGCTAGAATTTTAAACCCAATTGTTCCCGGATGTTTGTTCATTACCCTGTTCCAGGAACTGCAGATTTAGGGTTGGGTAATGCCCTAGCTGTAATTTTCCTAGCTGGGTATAACACTTAGCACCTACTATGTGGCAGAGACTGGTCACTGTTCTAGATAATGAGGACTTTACAGTGACAAAACCAAGTCCCAAGCCTCTTGGTGCATGGTCTCAACAACGGAGCTTATGGATCACTTCCGCATGGAAGCCCACCTAGCTTTGCCCTCTGGGTTAAAGCCTTCTTCTGTACTCTAACTCCCCCCCCCCCCCACAGGCTTCCTCTCCATCAGTACCTACCACCTTCATTTTCACAAACTGGAGAAGGCGGGGCCACTTCTGGTTTGGTCTTGACCCAGGTGTTTGGTGATGATTAATACTCCAACGCCCAGTAAAAGCTGAATCCTGAGCCCGAACCCTCTGCCCCTATACCTCCCAGCTTTGCTCTCTGGCGGCAAGTGGGGATGAGGGTTGGCTCCTCTGGGGCTGTGCTGGTCCGGATAAAACCTGGCTCCCCTAAGTGGCACTGCCCCTGGAGCAGGAGAACCCAGAGCATGTGATGCAGAGGCTGCGACACTAGGAGCTGACTGTCTGAGGTTGAGCCCTAGAGTCAGCAGGCTTGGGGCCCCAGGAAGAAGGCTGCAGACATGTTTCATCGCCAGTGTCTCGGGCAGGATCAACAGCTGCATACTTCACATCCATCAGCCAAGGACAGATGGCCTGTCCTGGGAGGTTTCTTGCATGGGTTGAGGGAGGAACCTCCCTCCCGTCTTGGGGAGCAGCCCTGCCCCCAGAGGAGTATCTCTGTGACCCTGGCCTCATCTGCCTGCTTGTTTTCCCTTCCGTCCAGATTCCCCCATCTCTTCTCAAAACTGGTTCATGCTGGTCCTTCAACTCTGCTCAGATGTCACCTTCCCCATCCACGCTGTGTGACATTGTTCTCTTCACCCCAGCACCACACCTTCTTCAGGATACTGTCAAGGCTGCTCCTCACTGAAACTGTTTCCTGATTCCCACTGGAGTGTGAGCTCCATCGAGGCAGGGACCCTGTTTTCACTCGCAGTGCCTTGCATGGATGGTGTTTGTTGGATAAGTTGTATAAAGAATTGAAGCTAGAAATCAGGAAGGCCAGATCCTGCTCTGCTACTAATTTTAAATTTCTGCTCATCTTTTACACAATGGACTGGAGTCAGCATTCAAACATACGGTGAGAGTGAGATACCTTAGCTAGCTAAAAATCGGGCAGAGAGAGTCCAGGCAGGCTTAGAGAAAAGGCTAGGGAAAAGGCCGTGAAATCCTACGTCACTGTCACTGTCCAAGCTGTGGCTCAGTTATGGCTTTGAGCTTCCTGGGTGCCCAAAGGAAAGGACACAGAAGTTGTTACTTGATTTATCTTTGTCCACAAGGAAAAACATCCCAGTTTCTCTGGACAAGCTTTTTGTTGGCCATTTATAAGAACTTTCTCACGCAGGTCTTCATGGAGGGGTATGGTAGCTGACCACAGCAGCGTTCCTCACTGAGTCACTGTTCTCAGGGTGCTGCTGAGACACCAGCAGTGGGGAGGGTGCCGAGAATGACGCAGTCGGTGCAGCTCCACAGGGGCTGGCCAGGTGTTTACTGGCGCTCTGGCTACATCCAGGGCTGAGGCCTGGAACCAAAGAATTTCCTTCAGAGCAGGATGGCTCCCAGCCTTTTGGATTACATGGCTAATAATTGTTATTTTTATTTATATTTTTAGAGAGAGGGTAAGGGAGGAAGAAAAAAAGGGAGAGAAACATCAGTGTGTGGTTGCCTCTCACTTACCCCCTACTGGGGATCTGGACCGAAACCCAGGCACATGCCCTGACTGGGAATTGAACCGGCAACCCTTTGGTTCAGAGGCTGGTGCTCAATCCACTGAGCCACACTAGCCAGGGCTAATAATTTTATTTTTAAAGTGGATGTTTTCAACATCATTCATAAAATATTCTTGTAAAAAAAGAAAAGGAACCCAAATAGTGAAGCTTCTAGATGCAATCACCTGTTTAGAAATGCAGAGAAGTGCCCTGGCTGGTGTAGCTCGGTGGACTGAGCGCCAGTCTGTGAACCAAAAGGTCACAGGTTCAATTACTAGCCAGGGCACATGCCTTGGTTGCAGGCCAGGTCTCCAGTTGTAGGCGTGCAAGAAGCAACCAGTCTATGTTTCTCTCCCACAGTGATATTTCTCTCCCTTTCCTTCTTGCTTCCTTCCCTTCTCTCTCTAAAAATAAATAAATAAAATCTAAAAAAAAAAATGCAGAGAAGCCAGAAGAATATGTTACACTACATGGAGGGATCTGATAAGCAAAATCCACATGCGCAAAATTCCAAAGGCAAACAATCCAGATTCTAGAGCAAATAAATTACAGGGGGAAGGAAGGCGTGGAGAGGAAACCTATAGAACTGGGTCTTAAGAGGCATACAAAACCTGACATTTGTGTAGTATTGTCACTATACACCCCAATAAATTCAATAAAAAGGAAGAAAGGTTTAAGGAAAGGAAGTGTGTGGACTCTGTTTAGACCCCAACTAGACAAGCCAACAGCAAAAGAGAGAGAAAAAACGTTATATTTTAAGGTTAATATTAAAGAAGTATAGCTATTTTTTAAGTATGAGAATGCTCAGGTGAATTTATATAATTATGTGTGCTTGTGTCGGAATAATCCAGGGCCTGGGGGTTGGGACCAGGGGGTTAGTAACAAGGGGATTTCATTAAACTAGTCATTACTTTTTGATATGTTAGGAATTTTTCATAATAAAACATTTTTTAAAAGATTTTACTTATTTATTTTTAGAGAGAGGGGAAGGAAATGAGAAAGAAAGGGAGAGAAACATTAGTGTGTGGTTGCTTCCTGTGCACCCCCTACTGGGGACCTGGCCCACAACCCAGGCATGTGCCCTGACTGGGAATTGAATAGGTGACCCTTTGGTTCATAGGCCCGTGCTTAATCCACTGAGCCACACCAGCCAGGGCTTTAATAAAACATTTTTAAAAATTGTCACATTGACATAAGTAAGGTTAGCCAACTTTTCCCAAATAAGAAGATTATATCCCAGCAGCCTCCATTCACTGTCACCATCATTTCATAAGAAAAGGACTTTGTAACATCAAAGATTCAGGAAGGGTTTATTTCAGAATAACAGCCAGTCTTTTATGTTTGTTTTTATTTTTGGAGGGCCAGTCTTAAATGAAATGTATTTTGCTTTCTGGAAAAATCACAGCAGATACTGCCAGGGACTGCCGCTGGTCTGCGGGCCCCACGTCTGCCAATGCTTTCCAAAACCACTTGTCTCTCAAAGGCTGAGACAGACCATGTAGGTAATGGGCACACTGGAGGCCACATGTGTTTGCTCTGTGACTTGGGAAGGCCGTCCCATATCCCCTCTGTGCGAAATATTTCTTTTTTAAAAAGAGAGAGAGAAAGGAGAGCAAGTGAGCGATCTTGTGGTCCAACTTATTGATGTGTTCGCTGGTCGATTCTTGTGTGCGCTCCGACCGCGGATGGAACCCCAAACCTTGTTTGTATTGGGCTCGCCCTCTAACCCGCTGAGCTATCTGACTGGGGCTCGTGCCCCTGCATCTCTCTCAAAGGCTCAGTGTTTAACCAGAAAGGCCCTCAGCGATCTGGCATAACCTCTCATTTTTACAGATGGAAAAAGAGGCCAAGAGAGGAAAGTGACTTGCTGCAGTTAACACAGCCTGACTTAACAGCAGAACCTAGAGAAGAGCCCGGGGCTTTCGGTTGCTCGGGTTTGCTCCACCCAGCATTTTACCTATTCTTAATCAATGCACGTTGCTTCTGTCTTCATTTCAGCGGGTGCCTGGAAAGATAGCTGTGTTGGCTTTCTGCCAGACCACCAGGCTTTTTACATCATGACCTTGCTAATTGCTGGCTGTGTGAGCTTTGGGTCAGTTTAACTTACCAATTTCTCGGGTCTCAGTTTCCTTATCTGTCAAATGGATGGGTGCTGGAATGATGGTATTTGCCTTCTAAGGTTGCTGTGAAATTGAGCTCACGTGTGACCAGTGCCTGCCTGACAGAAAGTGCAGGTGTAGGGCGGTTGCCTGTATTTTTACCTCCTATGAGCATGATGAGTTCCACAGATTTACTGTGGAAAGCAGACAGGCCTTTAATTAGGATCATGGCATGCCAGAGCTGGATTGGGCCCCCTGACATCAGCTACGGAGGAACCCTTTTATAGAAAGAGAAAATAAGTCCCTCGGGGTCTTGGTGAACTGCTGATGGCCCCAGAAAGCAATTGGTGGCAGAAGAGGGAAATTACAGAGTCCAGCCCCTACCCTTCTGGGGGCTCTGGGCTTTGCTCTGGGGGGAGAGGGTGTCTACGTTACCTTATAGGGCCGTTTTGTCCTATGCTAATGTCAGTGCCAGTCACTTAAAGACACAAGGCGAGTGTGCAGGGCTTTACAGTTTCCAACGCTTGCAAACTTGGTCCAGTGGGACCCTTACTCCAGCCTTAAAAGGTAGTGAGCCCTGGAATGAATACAGGGCTGGGGGGCAGGGAAGGAGGTTTACAATTGTGAGTACATGAAACACAGGGTTTATTCTTGTATTATCATCATTTATTGATTATTGTGTTATCTTCCATTTGAACAATTGTAAACCTGCTTTTGCCCCACCCTGTATTTCATTTCACAGAAGGAAATGGAGACCCCCAGGGTGGCCTGGTAACCACAGCTGTAAGCGAAGGCCCAGAAATTCCTGAACTACCCTGGAAGCTGAGGGTCGTCCCTTCGAAAGGAGGTCAGGTTAGTGTGAAATGGCTGATGCACGGTCTGCCTTTGGAAAAGTCCTTGAACTACAAAGACGTCAGCTATTAACTCTAAGTAGGGCAGAAAGGAAAGCAGTTACTATGGCAACATCTTTGGCAGCCTCTTTTCCTTCTTCCTCAGGTTCAAAACAACAGCTTCCAGCAGGTTCCTGGTGGAGGTGGGGAAGGGCTCACCCAGCAACTCGAGCCAACTGCAGTCGGCCAATCTCCTGCTAGATTTCAGTGGCAAGAGGCAGTGGCAGCCAATGAAGAGGCCTAGAGCTTGTGTCATAGACCTCAAGGCAAGCTGGAATAACCAGAAGGCAGGCACACGTGACTGTTTCCATGGTGACCTCCCTTAGCTACTCAGACTGGTCCTATTTATGAGTACTGGAAAATTCCACCCAGCCTTCAGCCTGATTTTGTTAGCTTCTCTGCCTGCTTCCTGCTTCCAGCGGGAGGGGCTGGGGATGAAGTCACTGCCAGTGTTTAACCCCCTCACCCGGAGGGGGTCTGGGGTTCAGGGAGAGGGAAGAGAGCCCAAGTCTGAGCTGGGAGCCACCGCTTGTAGCATACATCATGTGCTGGGACTGTACCAGGCTCCTGATGACCTCACAGCCCCGAGCAGAGGGCACACCACTGATCGCCCCTATTTCACTGAGGAGTGAACTTGAATCAGAGAGGTTAGGTAACTTGCAATGTCACAGGCTCAGGCTTGGAGTTCTTTTGGGGCCTTTCTCTCCAAGACAGCTCCCTAAGGCTTGAAGTCTTATAGGACCAGATGAGGCGGGGATGGGGTGCAGAGGAGGGTCAGAGCCATGGTTTTCGTGGGAGCTGAAGGAAGGCCTCACCAGCCAGGAGGGCGACTTTGACTTTTAGGCTGAGGGGAAGAATAAGGAGGAAACACAAGTTGGTTTCAGGATACCCCGGGCTGGAGCTGAGGGTGTCCTGGTGGGCAAGGCCGGACAGGCCCAGGGAAGGCCCAGGCTGGGGCCCAGGGCCTGGTCCTTATTTTTCAGCCCATGGAACTGGCTGTGCTGGGATCCGGGCTGGGGGCAGGGAGGGAGGTTGGGCCTGCAGACACGACTGCCAGACTCCTACTGGGAAAGTGCTGGCTGAGGCTGCTGGCAGATCTGAGAACCAGCGGCTGGAACATGGAGTGAGGTGGGCCTCCCAGAGTCCCCAGCACCAGCCGCAGGCCACACAGGGTCAACGTCGTGGATGCTGCATAAGCCGTGTGCGCAGAGCTACTCTGAGCTGAGGCAGGGCTACAGGAAGACTCCAACTCTGTTTTCAAGGATGTTAAGTGACAATGACAAACAACAAAAGTCATATTCCGTAGCTTAAGGTCACAACAAATGAGTCACCGAGTGAAGGGTATGATCACAAAGTGCTCTGGAGGTCACTGAACCACAAAGGCCCCAGGAGTGTGCAGGAAGGACTAGCCATTCGGCAGCCTGCAGGAGGAGAGGCCTTGGACTAGGCTTCTACAGGGCGGGGCTCCCACCTGCAGGAACAGGTGTGTCCTTGGGGGAGAGATGGCAGATGGCGCCTGTCCTGTGAACTAGGGACCCGGCAGCAAACGGGGCCAGAAAGGGGATCTCGAGTATTCTGGCCCCAGTTCAGGGTGGGCCAGTAAGTGTTAAGGATCTGGGACAACGAAGAGGGGTGACTGTGTGTGACTTTGATGATCTCCAGCCCACTGGTGTCTGTCGGAGCCAAAAGGCCTCAGCTGCAGTCTTTGCTGAAGCACAACGGCCATGGAAATTTCCGCCCAGCTCTTTTCCCAACACTGCTCCCCGCTCTTCCCTCCGCCCAGGCACTGCTGAATCTGAAGTTCTGTCTGGAGCAGGCTGCAGGCTGAAGAGGCCCAGGCGCCTCAGAGATGCCCTGACGGCCACAGTGGGCTGGGCTGGTGTGGGCAGGTCAGAACTTCAGGCACACAGGGTGCTTCAGGCACACATGGGTCCCAGAGGCCCCAGGATTCCTGCCCCCGGGGAAGGCAAAGGGGAGTGGTGGCTTCCACTGTCCTGTCCCGTCGGCATTCCTGAGGCTGGTCAGCTCCCCCTGGGCTGTGCCCCTCAGACAGAGGGCAAGGCAGCAGGCCCAGAACAAGCCCAGGGACAGAAAGAGGCGGGGTGCGCCCCTTTGGGCTGTTTTCTTGGGGGCAATAGTCTGTATATTTACTTCTAAGAGCTCCCAAGTGGAAGACGTGACTTCCATGTGAGAGTGGAGCTGGGGAGACCCTGGAAGCTCCCTCACAGCCCCCCCACCTCTCCTTATCCTGGGCTCCCAGCTCAGCCCGTCCCCAGTTAGGTTCTCCTACAACAGCACAGCTGGGCCGGCACGGGGTTGGGTGGTGGTGAGGGGAGCTCCAGCCTTCCAGTGGTGAGGCGGGTTACCAAACAGAACAAAACAACGTCTCTGCAGCAGCTGCATCCTTTGCCCACAGCTGGGAGGGGCCGCTCCCTCAGGCAGACATGGACCTGCCTCTCTCACGTCTGTGCCTGAGGCAGCCCTGGTGTCCCCAAGTTCTGGCTCCAGCCGTGGCAGCCCACCCTCTGGCCAGCCAGGCCACAAACCCTGCATTCCCACTGATTGTTGTGTTAACAAACACAGCATCACCCAGGAAAATACAGGCTGCGCCAAGCCTGAGGGTGAGGTAGCTAAGTGGCAGAGGTGCCAGATGACTGGGTGTGCTGGTCAGAGAGGCCCTTACAGAGGAGCCATGTCAGGACAGGGCAGTGAGGATGAACGAGTCTCCCCTGAAGGGCTGGGAGGTGCACGCCAAGGAGACGTGTTCTCCAGAGTAAAGAACGTGGGCCTGGAGAGGGCCAGGGCTGCTGCAGACAGAGGGGAGGGGACCAGAGTGGGACGGCTAGAGAGCCTCATGCAGAATCTCTCTACCTGTGTTCCTTCTCTTGTCCCGAGGCCACCGCCCACCCCAGCCCAGGCCTCCATGACCTCTGGCGGGGCTGCCCTCCCCACCCCTCTTCCGTCCCCTCTGCCACTTCTCCCAGCTCAGCCACCTTGCAAAGAGCAGCCCCACATTTCCCAAAGCCAGGGCCTCTCCCAGCTCAGAAGTCATCCTCCTGCCCGAAGAGCAGGGTCCAAACTCCCTCTCCAGGTGACTCAAGCCCTCTAGTCCTCCCTTCCTGCCTCCCCTACTTTCTAGTGTATTCCCATCACTTAATGAGCTTTAAGGTCCGCTCCGTGTAAAGGGCTGCAGGTTCTCCTAGGATCTCAGCACCGAGAAGGAACCACAATGCTACGGGCTTCTGTTTCTACCTGGCCTGTGTTGAGAAATATGTCGTTGGCAAAGTTCCTGGAACTGGGGGACCTCTGCCCCCTTGTTCCAGGAGACTTGTTTTGGTGGGAGGTGGGCCACCAGTGTGTTGAGAAGGAATAGGTGTGGAAGGTGTGAGCTGTTTAAGGATGGTGTGAGCTATTTAATGAGCTTCGTGCTGGGGATGCAATTGTATGTGATGTGAACACAAACATCTGCCTGGGCCCTCAAGCAGTGACTGAACAGATAGCAGGTGGGGACACAAGAATGTAAATATGACTCACTGGGAAGCCTCACTGTTTCTTCCGGCCATTTCTGCTCTTGCCAAAGGTCCACTCAGCAGGCCCCAGAGGTTGAGTAACCAGGGGCCCCAGCACAGGTGAGGGCTGGACGCAGAGTGAGTCACAGCGGCATGACAGCAAGGCCTGAGCCTTCCGCCCCCCTCCCCTGGGGAGCAGGGTGTTTGACCTGAGCTCCACGGAGCCCCAAGGGGCCTCCGGGTTTCCCTGCCTTGGCAGGTCACAGTCTGTCCGGAAGTTCTCCAGGGAGGGAAGCAGTTCCCCATTTCTTATGTGGTACCAGCTCCACGCACTCACTCCATCCTCATGGGCAGTTGCCTTTTATGTAACTAAAAATCTAACGTGTTTTTTTCCTACCAACACGTGTGAAGTTGCGACTAATCCCTTCCTTTGTTCTTACTAGCAATACTTGGCACAGCACGGCAGACTGCCGAAAACCTCTCATTACCACTTACTGTGACAAGTGTCTCTGTAGGGACGTTCCAGGATGGGGGACCACAGTCCTCTCAGCCCCTTCTGTTCTGGCTCACCCGCCACTCGCCACACTGTACATACTGAGCATCACCTGCAGTGCCCTTGTCACTGTTCTTCTTGCTGTTGTTGTTTTTTTAAAGATTTTATTTATCTTTAGAGGGGAAGGGAAGGAGAGAGGGAGAGAAACATCAATGTGTGGTTGCCTCTCATGTGTCCCCTGCTGGGAACTGGCCTGCAACCCAGGCATGTGCCCTGACTGGGAATCGAACCATGATCCTTTGATTCGCAGGCCTGTGCTCAATCCACTGAGCTACGCCAGCCAGGCCTAGTTTGTTTGTTTGTTTCTTTTCAGTTTCCTGTGGTTTATTTTTCTAGGGAATACATTTGATTCTTTTCTTCTTTCTGGCTTCAGCTTTTAGAATGGCTGCTTTCACGTCATGGTTAGAGGTTATTTTAGGGGTGGTATTTCTTTTCTTTCATTTCCAAGTAAATTTATTTTCATTTTACTTTATATTTTATTATGTAATTACAGTTGTCCTGATTTTTCCCCCTTTGCCCCCCTCCACCCAGCACCCCCCACTCCCTCAGGCAATCCCCCCACCATTGTTCCTGTCCATGGGCCATGCACATATGTTCTTTGGTGACTCCATTCCCTCCTGTGACAAACACATTCACAACCACGCATGTACTACACATCCCCATGGCTATTCTGTAACTACCTATTTGTACTTCTTAATCCATCCCCTCACCTCTAGCCATTCTCCCCCTCCCAAGGGCAGTATTTCTAACACTTAATACATTTCAATAAAATTTAGGAACCCTTAACTTTTATCCCCTAGAGTAGAACCAGAACTAATGTCAAGAATTATCTCTGGTATCTTTCCAGTCCAACAATAGGCCATAGCTAAAGTCAGTGTTTCAGCCAGTCGGGCAAGTGAGCCACTGACTCCTGACATTGGTAAGTGAAATGGAATCTCTAGCTTTTTGTTATTAAAAGACATATTAAATCATTGTGGTCCTGGCTGGTGTGGCTCAGTGGATTGAGTGCTGGCCTGCGAACCAAAGGGTCACTGGTTCGGTTCCCAGTCAGGGCACATGCCTGGGTTGTGGGCCAGGTCTCCAGTGCGGGGTGCATAAGAGGCAACCACACATTGATGTCTCTCTCTCTCTTTCTCCCTCCCTCCCCTTTCTAAAAATAAATAGATACACTCTTTAAAAAATAAATCATTGTGATTTATATATTCTAGGGCCAGATATTCCTTGGCTGACGAAAAATAAGCTCTTACTGTCTGTATCTCGCAAGCCCCAGTTCCTCCCGATAGTGGAGGTGAACTCCCCCCACCCCTTCACACTGCAGCATTCTGATGATCACCCTCCATCCCTCCCACCCGACCCTCCCCATTATTTCCACAGCATTTTGTATATTTCTCTGTTAATAGGAACTATCACATTGTACTCCGGTTGGTTTAAATGCAGCATGCACTCACTCAACTATAAATTACTCAGGATTAAGGATGTTTCTCTTTTAGCTACTTCTAGTTTCTGTTGATCTGTCTTCCGCATAATGGAGCCCTGAGCTGTGTCATCACCTCCGGGTTTTTTCCTGCCGCAGGATCTGGCAGCTGCGCAGATGAGGCAGCTGAGCATTTGCACAGTCATTGTTCCAGAGGTCAGCTCCTGGAAGGGAAGGTGGGAGGCGGGAGGGGGCTGGGAACTCCAAATTCCCAGTCTTCAGAAAAGAAGTTGTTTTCTTCTTTTGTTTGAGACATGCATTTCTAGAACCGACACTGGTAAGCACAATTAGATAAAAATCAAACAAGAGGCCTGGAGAGAATCCAGCTGT